GAAGGGGAAACGCTGGTGACGAAGCCCATTGTGGTGGGGCTGCTTCCCCCGCCCCACCTGCAAGCCCTCTGCGGGCCCCTCATCGCCAACATCAGATGTGTGGAGACCAGCTGCCTGCCTTCTGGGTGAAGCACAATCAACAGGCAGACGTGGTGTCGAACCCATACCTTGGACCTCTTAGCACTGAGCCACTGATTCTGATGGTGGCACACTTAAGGCTGATGGTTTTAAGTAACGAACATCCCTGAGCGAGCAGGCCAGCTTATGAGAGATATAGGGATACTAATCGTTATGATAATTGCATTGTGTTTTTTTCCTGAATGCAAGCTCACCACTGCTGGCTCATTATTAGAAAGCATGTAAGTGTTAAAATTTCCAAGCTTCTTACACACACACACACACACACACACACACACACACACACACTCACACACACACACACTCCCCCTTCTAGTACTGCCTGAAGAATTTTACACTCAGTTAAAATGACAACCACAATAGAGAAGATATATTTTGGCAAATAACTGTTCAATCAGTGGCACTGACAGTACTTTCTCTGGGTTCAATAGAGAGTTGGAATGTTCAAAAGAGACTCCATGGGGAGCTGGAGGAACAACTGAATTTGTAGACTGAATAGCAATTGGAAAATCAGAGAGGTTGGAGGCGTGAGAACCCCATTTGTTTGGGACTGTAGATTTTTTAGGAGAACTTCTGGAAAATAAGGGTGGGAAGGTTGGGAGAAGGATGCCAGCCGGTGTTGACCTCAGTCCTGCCAAGCACTTGAAGACTGGGCACCTGCAACTCCACTTGGACTAAATCCCCGGGACAGCGACACCCCGTATCTTAGGTGCCCCCTGCTCTCTCTTGGGGAGATCTGGGATTGGTCCTCAGCAGAGGATGCTGAGGCACTCCAGGGAAAAGAGAGTGAGGCCCTGGAAAAGGGGAGCATGTGGTTTTAGGATGACTGTACTCACCACATGGATTCCTACCACCCCTGCCCCAACTGTGAGGCATATTCCTGCGTTTGCCGTGGTAGATGTGAGGGAAATAGATATCTTCTCCCTTCATGTACACCTGCCCAGCAACATCCCAACCACCAGCTTCTCATGCCCACTTCTCACACAGTCACAGCGGCAGGATGCCAGCCGGGTCAGGACAGCAGGTGTAAGCCCTGCTCGTGGGGCGGAAGGAGACCAGTTTGTTTAAAAAACGGAACGTACACTTCCGGCCTCCGAAAACAGGGCTTGTTGGCCTACCCTCTTTTGAAATCATGAGTGCCTTTCTCCAGTGCAAGATTCCTTCCTAAAAGGATGTTTCTTTATTTTATTTAAAAAATATATATGTATATATTTGATTTTTTACAGAGAGGAAGGGAGAAGGATAGAGAACCAGAAACATCGATGAGAGAGATACATCGATCAGCTGTCTCCTGCACACCCCCTCCCCACTGGGGATGTGCCCGCAACCAAGGCACATGCCCCTCACTGGAATTGAACCCGGGACCCTTGCAGGCCGATGCTCTATCCACTGAGCCAAATCGGCTAGGGCAAAGGACATTTCTTTAGTTAATAAAATGCCAGTGGAGACCACTTTGAAGAGTTGGTTACACAAGAGGAAAGCATCACCAAGAAACTGTCCCACCGAGATCAATGGCTTCATAAGCACACAGACCTGGCTGGGAGTGCAGAAGCCAGCACACCCTAGGTTCAGATTTCACCTCTCCTGGCCAGGGGTTCCTTGCAAGGTTGTTTTAATGATTGGAAATGGTATATATGAGGCACCTGGCTCACGGATATCCAGTAAAGGGCAGACATTATTAATAGCATCCACATTTCACCTAGGTTACTCTCCTGGGGTGGGGGAGGTTGGGGATTCTGTGAGATGGTTTGAAATGAAGCCTGCAGCTGGTGCCAGCTTCCCCAAGCAGCGTCTCTGCATGCGGTGACCAGCGAAGCAGGCCGGCAGGGTGGGGTGGGGAAAGGGGGGCCCCCCGGGCTCTTACGTTCGCTGACACGGAGAGATCTTTCATTTGTGTTTTGTTGATAAAGTGGTGCTTCCTTCCGCTGGGAAATCAATTTCACCATGCGGCGGATCTCAGGAAGCGGGGCCGTACGGCTGCTTTTCTCAAAGAGAGACATTTCTGTCGGCATGAATCGCGGAGCTGACACAGGGCTGGCGGAGTCTGTCAAAGGGAAATAACCTGTTTACTCTCCTCCCGCCACACCTGCCACCTTCCAGAAGCAAAGCGTGAAGAAGGGATGTTTATCTTCAAGCCCGGAGACCAGACCCTCCCTCTGGTTTAGAACGAGCAGACAGACGCATGTCCTTGGAGACCTGCCATGTCTGAATTTCCACCATGAAAGGGATTCTTGCCGGCTGTCCGCTAGAAGGCAAAGCCGCACGGCCATGGTGCCAAGAGGCGCCTAAAATAGCTGAGCACGTAATCCTGGGGGGATGCTTCCTCGTCACAAGCTTGAAAACACATTCCTTTGGCATTGGGTCCAATATTGAGGCCCACTGGTGCGGATGACGGGAGGTGTCTGCTCTGTCTGGGGTCTTCTGACATGTCCGGGGCAACTGCCTGTGGGATAGTGAGACAGGATGGAAATCTCACCACAAAACAGTTACGTTAGGTGAGAAGAGTGTTTGTGTTACAATTAACTTGTATTAAACAGTTTCCTGCAGTTTCTATAAACAGTAGTCATTCCTCATATTTTTTTAAAAATATATTTTTTATTGATATTTTACAGAGAGGAAGGGAGAGGGATAGAGAGCTAGAAACATCGATGAGAGGAGAAACATCGGCCAGATGCCTCTTGCGCATCCCCTACCAGGGATGTGCCTGCAACCAATGTACATGCCCTTTGACCGGAATCGAACCTGGGACCTTTCAGTCTGCAGACCGACGCTCTGTCCACTGAGCCAAACCGATTTCGACCATTCCTCATATTTTTTAAAATTGGTTTGACATTTTACACATACATCCTCTTTTTTCACATACATCCTCTTTTTTCACATACATCCTCGTTACAGAAAAGACTGACTGTATAAGTCCAGCCAGATGGAGTGTGGTGATGGGCAATGGTTACGTCCAGTACAGGCTGAGAATTGTGGTCCTTTGCTGAGAACTCTAGACCAATAACCAAATAGCCTCTAGGGGGCAGCAGATCGTCAACTAAAACCACGGTGCCTGGGGCTGTCAGGCTTTCCTGGCTCATTGCCCAGCCCTTCCAAGTCCAACCCTTCTCCCCTTTGCCTAGCAAAACTCATCCTGTAGGCCTGGCCACGGTGGGGACCTTTGCTGTTAAGCGTTCTTTACCCCACTCGCCTCCACACACCCCCTTCTCCGCGCTCTGAAACCCTCCTGGTCTACCTTGTATGATACCACCGAGCTTCCCCGTTTGCTATTGTTTCACCATAAGCTACACCTGTCCTGTTAGCAGGAACATTGTCTTCTGTCGCTGTGTGTTTCCCACAATACCAGGACTGCCCTGGAGGCCTCGCTAAATATCTGACAGCAGACGGAGGGTCCCTGGACCTGTAGTGAATGCTTGGTACATACCTGCTATTTTGATCGTCAAGATGGTCTTGTTTTTGCACAGGAGGAAGTATTTGCGCTGCTTTGCTTATTTCTGAGATGGCTACATCCTCCCATGCTTTCTGGTTTGTTTCAGACTGGGGTGTAAAATAGAGGGTTTTCAAAATGAACCCAGAGGCGAGATGGAAAATATTACCGTTGATGCCATAGATGCAGGCTGGCTCTGCTCTTTCTTGGCTGTCTGCCTGGGTCAAGTTAGCATCTCAGCCTCAGTTTTCTCACCCATAAAATGGGGCTATCTAAGCTGGTCATGTAATTTATTATCTCAACTGAAGCATATTTGAGAGTAAAGGCGGACATTTTTAAATCATTGCGATCATACAGTCTTCTGAAATATATATATTTAATACATTTTATTGATTTTTTACAGAGAGGAAGGAAGGTGGATAGAGAGCTAGAAACGTTGATGAGAGAGATACATCAACCAGCTGCCTCTTGGACACCCCCCACTGGGGATGTGCCCGCAACCAAGGTACATGTCCTTGACCAGAATCGAACCCAGGACCTCTGAGTCCGCAGTCCTACGCTCTATCCACTGAGCCAAACCGGTTTCGGTGAGGAATGGCTTTTATTTTTATCCTTTGGCTTTCTTATAAAATTATCCTGTTCAAAAAATGATCTTCAACATGAAATTTGGCACAAAAAATTAACGTGCAGACGGGCCAGATTGTACAGGGTGTGTACCTAGCTCTGTGGGTCCTGCCCACCCGTGGTGTGCACCTTGTCCAGCTCCAGAGGGAAATCGAAGAACATGGACCCGCTTCTGTGCAGCCAGGCGGCTGTCTCAGCGGTAGGGAAGGTACATCGGTAAGGCTGTGCATTTGGGGGTGATAGTTTGGCTGCCTCTGAGCACAGAGCGCTTCTCCTCACTTGCGAACTCACTCCTGCCTCCGGGCAACTTGCCTGGAAAGCCGAGGAACCGGCCTTGGCACCCTCTTCTGCACCGGCTCCTGCAGTTTCAGCAGTGGTGCTTAAATACCGGGTTCGCCGTAAACTTAACAGTCTGAGCTGGAAAGGACAACATGCCTTGGATGTTGGTGTCCCCAAGTAGCCAGAGCTTGGCTGCCGTCCTGTGGTTGGCTTTCCAGGTCGGACACATCCCTTTTAGAAACACAGACCTTTACTCCTCACTCAGCCTCTTGTAAGTGCTGTTTGCTATGGTAATGAGAGCTCTTTGACCGTGTGTACATTTTACCTATAGCCCCGCAGGGCCGAGGCCTATGTTTTTTTTGCCAATTCCTTGCCTGATGGAGAATTCCAGGAGTGCTCTGTGGCCTCCTCGCATAGGGGAGGGTCTGCTCACAGTGAGTGTCATTGTGTGATGGAAGAGTCAGGTCAGGGGACTGGGTGTGTTGCAGGCACAGCCCTCTGCATGGCTCCTAACAGCCTCTTCTTTCTCTAGGTACGTGTACATCCCAGTGGGCGGGTCCCAGCACGGCCTGCTGGGGACACTGTTTTCGACGGCGATGACTTTTGCATTTGTGAGCTACTGGCATGGCGGGCACGACTACCTCTGGTGCTGGGCAGCGCTCAACTGGCTGGGAGTCACCGTGGAGAACGGAGTGCGGAAGCTGGTGGAGACCCCGTGCGTCCAGGACAGCCTGGTGAGCAGGAGCCTGGCCCGGGGCAGGGACAGCAGAGCCGGGGCCGGTTTTGGGAGGGAAGGTGGTCATCAGACTCAGGGCCTCATGAGCCATGCTGGCTAGATGGGTTCAAAGCCCATGTGCCTAGAGGCAGGACAATTTAAAAAGAGTCTAATTGTAGCTATTTTAAAAAAGTAATGTTTTAACTATAAAAGCAATCCATGTTTATTATATAATGTTAGAACACATAGACAAGAATAGAAGAGAAAAAACAGCTCAACAGAAAACACTACTAATCCCCCATTCTTCCAAATATTTGCTGTGTACACACACACACACACACACACACACACACACACATCTAAAACAAATGCTGTTATTCCAGAGATATGGTTGTATCAGGACCACCTTTCTATGTCATCAAATCCACTTCTAACAACCCTTTTTAATGGCTCCACCAAATTTCACCATTGAATGCGCTATAAATTATTTAGTCTTATATTATTAATAATCATATTATTCTAACTTTTTGCACTTATCAGTTGCATTGAGGTGAATATCATAACCAGGATGAATTCTTGTATGTGAAATTGCTACATTAATGGTTTTCTCACCTTTAAGGTTTGCCACCCATACTGTCTAACTCGGTGGTTCCCAACGTGGGCACATGCCCCACAGGATGACAATCCGATTTTTAAGGGGGCAATTTGAGAATACATTATTAACAGTGACTATTTTGCATTTCTTATGATTCTAGGGGCCTCATATATGATATATAAATACCTATTGTGATATATCTATGCATTTCACTTTTCTATTATGTGTTTTAAAACTTTATTTGCTATATCTATATTTTAAAATATATTTTATTGATTTTTTACAGAGAGGAAGAGAGAGGGATAGACAGTTAAACATCGATGAGAGAGAATCATCGATCAGCTGCCTCTTGCACATCCCCTACTGGGGATGTGCCCGCAACCAAGGTACATGCTCTTGACCAGAATCGAACCTGGGACCTTTCAGTCCACAGGCCCACGCTCTATCCACTGAGCCAAACCGGTTTCGGCTATTTGCTATATTTTCAAATCACTCCATATTATTATTATTATTATTATTATTTAACAATTTCTTAGTGATTTCTTCTTCACTACTTCAGCTGTTCTTTCGTTCAATTATTTTTCTCTTTTATGGATACCACATTCTTTGGAAGCTTGTTTAGACCAAATTAATGTCCTTTGAGGTTTCCTCCACGTGAATGGAGTTCACTTTTTGAATAAGAATTATGTGTCAGGGGGGGTGGAGCTTGGCAAAAAAAAGCTCGGGAACCACTGGGTTAACTCTTTCTTCCTTAGCGGGCGGAGTGTGCTGAGTTACATCCCTACCACCAGAGCGAGAGGATGTCCTCACCGGCACTGAGCAGTACTGGTGTTTCACTCTTTGCTAATTTGATAGCTACTGTTTTAACAGCATAAAAAAGCTAAGCACTTAAGACACATTCCAACTCCAGAGGAAAATGATTTGGAAAATAAATGAAGCACTTTGCTTTGCACATTTTAAGTGTTTTTAAGCCATGAGTGAATGTTCTAGAATGGAAATGTGGTGGAGGATGTATGAGAAGCTTGTAGGAAATCATCCGGTCTGCACATGCAGCCATAGTCTGATAACCCTAAGAAAAAGTAGCTAGGAAGGAAAATGCTGTCATTAGTGTTCACAGTAGGCAACAAAACACAAGAAATTTAGTGGGCAGTGAGTAATGTGGCTAAATTCCATCCATGTAGGCAAGTAAAGCAAATACATTTTTAAAAAACCAACACAACCAAAATAGAACCCACTCAAATGTTTTTCTGTTTAGCGAGCCATAGTACAAGTGGACAGTTATTCCAATAAAAAAACGGGTACAAAGTCCCTGCCAAAATAACACAGCTGAAGGAATTTAAGTATGCTCATGCATGTTTAAAGATAAATATTTTATTCAGTACTATCACCAAGCGATCAGCGGAAGAGAAATGTCGGTTAACTCTAATGGAAAATGAAATTTCAGTGAAAGGCACGGCTATACAACACAAAGGAAAAGCCATAAAAGGTGGCATCCTACAGGTTTCCATCTCCATCCTGAAATCTGAGCGGTCTTCCCCAAAGCCGGAAACCCAGGCACCACCTGTGGAAGCCAGAGAATTCCTTCCAGCCCAGGCTGAGCCCGGGGCACAGCATCACGTTCCTTCACGGGAGGGCGGACGTTAACCTTGAACTTCATACTAAGCAGTGCTCTGTAGACTTTGAGCTTTGGCTTACGTTACGAATAAAATCTTAAACATCTCACATGCTGAAGAGTAACCCAAACTGTGCCAGGCAGCCTGTGGCTTGTTAATTTGGCTAAAAAAGGAATGAAGGCAGTGAAAAGGCTCACAGGAGAAGCACTGAGATGTCCGCTCTGTCCCATCATGGCTCACTCAAGGACGCTCTTGTGGTTACCAGTTTCTATCCACAGTTCAGGCACCCATGGGCAGAGTATATACTTTTCTCTGAATATATCCTTTTGGTGAGATATATGTCTTTGCATATTGCAAATATGCTGTTTAGTGTACATGCTTGTTGAGCAAGAACATACCTTGCAAAGCCTATTCCCCCCCACCCCCACCCCCCACCCCCCCCACCCCAGCTGTCTTATCGGTAGTTGATTGCGGGTGTTTAGTTAGACTGGAACCTTTTTTAGTACAAGGTCAGGGTCCCATTGCTATTTATACTCCCAATGGTTAGCTCGGGGTCTGTTATCCTCAGTGTGAAGTCAATGCACAATTAATGCTTCTGTTTGTCCCCCAAGGACCCTCCCTCCACGACTCAGTCAGTATCTTATGCAGTTTAGCAGCGATTCTGTTTCCTTCAGGGATGTGGCTGGCTTTCCAATGGCCCACCGCCTTTTGAAAAAACGGTTTCCTCACTTGAGTTGCCCTCTTGCCCTCTCTTTTTATGAATCCATTTCCTATTCTTCTGTCAAAAACTAAATAAAGACTTAATGCCTCTTTGGCACCTGCTTCCATCTGACTGGAGCCGCCCCAATTGACCTGGCGCGGTTTTTACAATGTGAGTTCACTCCTCACGCCCCTCACACACTCCTCCCCTGGCATTCATCCTGCGTCTGTCTTTTAAATATAGACAGACATATATCTGAACAGCAAGGATTATCAGTCCTTCTTTTCCATCTTCAGCCTCAGCGCTTTGTCTGGGGCACACAGCACGATAGGTTTCCATTTCTTGGGGTTGATAGAATAACAGTGGAACACTCACCCAGAGACCGGTCAGAGCTGAGTTGTAAATAGCAAGCCCTCTGAGGTCCTAGGAGGACTGTTTGACCGAACTTTCTGCCATAATGGAAATGTCCATTGTATTGTCTAACGCAGTGTTTCCCAAGCTTTTGACATATGTGTACCCCTTCTCTAATTTTCGTAACGTTGAGTACCCCTCGTACTCATGAGAATGTAGAATTAGGCGCAGCTAAGCACAGTGCAGTGCATATCCCCACCAAACTCCGGTGCAACGCGTACCCCCACCAAACTCTTCCCGTACCCCTGGGAGTACACGTATCACACTTTGGGAAACACTGGTCTAACCCATGGGTGACTAGCCACATTCAGCATTTGAGTAACTATGCTGAATCTATTTTAAATCTATTTTCATTAATTTAAATCTAAGTAGCCTCCATGTGGCTAGCAACTTCCATTTTGAGCAGCAAAGTTCTAGAACATACTCCTTTTCTAGAAAAAAAAAATTAAAAGAATGTATAGAATGTTTGTTTGCCATAATTTAGAATGATCTTCATCTATGTGTGGTACCTCATATATCCTACTGACTACTGATTCTCTCCACTCGAATATCTCACAGATATCTCTGGCTTAGCCTGTGTAGCACGGAACTCACGTGCCCTTCTCTCTCAGTATTCCAACCAGCTCCTTCCCCTCAAGCATGCTCTGTTTCTGCAAATGGCACTTCCTTGGTCTAGTTACTTAAGTCCCAAAACATCAAGGCATCCTTTCTGTGCCCCTATCCCAGTTCTTCCTGTGTGTACTTACATTCTGCCTCCTCAGCAAATATTTTTTATTATTATTTTCTTGTTTTCATTTCCACTGAGTCATCCTAATACAGCTGTTCTCATTTCTTGCCAAGTCTACCGTGTAGTGTCTAACCAGTCTCCCTGCTTCCACTTTTGGCTTTTTCTTATACTTTTTAAAAATATATATTTTATTATTATTTTTTTTTTTACAGAGAGAAAGGGAGAGGGTTAGAGAATTAAAACAACAATGAGAGAGAAACCCACAACCAAGGTACATACCCTTGACCAGAATCAAACCTGGGACGCTTCAGTCCTCAGGCCAACACTATATCCACTGGGCCAGACTGGTTAGAGCCACTTTTGACATTTTCAATTTATTATCCTCATTATGCTGAATGGTGCTTCTCAATAAAATCCCAACCATGTTGTTGTCTTTAAAATACTCAGTGCCATCCTGTTTTCTTAGGACCAGCTACACAACATTTAAGATGGTTTATATGAGGCCTTGTCTGATCTTGATCTTGCTACTTCTCCGTCCCTCCTTCTCAACACTCTGTTCTTCCACCTGTTCCCTCCTCATGCAGGCTCTTCCATCTCTTAAGATGCTCTCTCTTCTCCTCCTCCAACCATATTCATCCTCCAGATTTGAAGGATGCATGGAGCCCCTTCATTGACCCTCCTAAGTCATCAGGTCTCATTTAATAACTCATGTGGGCACCTCATCTGTCTCTTCTGCTATATTTATCACAGGTGTAGTGAAATACTTTTATAGAATAACCCAGTGGTCGGCAAACTCATTAGTCAACAGAGCCAAATAGCAACAGTACAATGATTGAAATTTCTTTTGAGAGCCAAATTTTTTAAACTTAAACTTCTTCTAGCACCACTTCTTCAAAATAGACTCTCCCAGCCATGGTATTTTGTGGAAGAGCCACACTCAAGGGGCCAATGAGCCGCATGTGGCTCTCGAGCC